CACGCTGTATGTGTGTACACGCTGTATGTGTGTACACGCTGTGTGTACACGCTGTCTGTGTGTACACGCTGTGTGTGTGGTGTGTACACGCTGTCTGTGTGTGTACACGCTGTGTGGTGTGTACACACTGTGTGTGTGTGTGTACACGCTGTGTGTGTGGTGTGTACACGCTGTGTGTGGTGTGTACACGCTGTGTGTGTGGTGTGTACACGCTGTGTGTGTGTGTACACAGTGTGTGTGTACGCGCTGTGTGTGTGTGTGTGTACGCGCTGTGTGTGTGTACGCGCTGTGTGTGTGTACACGCTGTGTGTGTGTACACGCTGTGTGTGTGTGTGTACACAGTGTGTGTGTACGCGCTGTGTGTGTGTGTAGACGCTGTGTGTGTGTACACGCTGTGTGTGTGTACACGCTGTGTGTGTACACGCTGTGTGTGTACACGCTGTGTGTGTGTACACAGTGTGTGTGTACGCGCTGTGTGTGTGTAGACGCTGTGTGTGTGTACGCGCTGTGTGTGTGTGTGTACACAGTGTGTGTGTACGCGCTGTGTGTGTGTACACGCTGTGTGTGTGTGTACACAGTGTGTGTGTACACGCTGTGTGTGTGGTGTGTACACGCTGTGTGTGTACACACGCTGTGTGTGTACACGTTGTGTGAGTGTACACGCTGTGTGTGGTGTGTACACACTGTGTGGTGTGTACACGCCGTGTGTGTGTACACGCTGTGTGTGTGTACACGCTGTGTGTGTGTACACGCTGTCTGTGTGTGTGTACACGCTGTGTGTGTGTGTACACTCTGTCTATGTGTGTGTGTGTACACGCTGTGTGTGCACGCTGTGTGTGTGTGTGCACGCTGTGTGTGTGTACACGCTGTGTGTGTGTACATGCTGTGTGTGTGTGTACACTCTGTCTATGTGTGTGTGTGTACACGCTGTGTGTGTGTGTGTACACGCTGTGTGTGCACGCTGTGTGTGTGTGTGTGTACACGCTGTGTGTGCACGCTGTGTGTGTGTGTGTGTACACGCTGTGTGTGCACGCTGTGTGTGTGTGTACACGCTGTGTGTGCACGCTGTGTGTGTGTGTGTGTACACGCTGTGTGTGCACGCTGTGTGTGTGTGTACACGCGCTCCGATTAACGCAACGCATGCGGGTGGTGAATGCGTGAAATAGCGGCTCGCGTGTGCGGCGTTTGGCTGTGTTACCGTTCGCGTGAACCCCCCCCCCGTTACCTTCTGCGCAGAGGGCTGAGTTGGGATAACAGCGCGACCAGTTCTTGTGAGACGAAAGGGAGCTTTTGTCTGCGTGCAAGCAACAGCAGCAGCAGCGTGCCGTGCTGCCAGTCGGAGCGTGGTGGTGGTGGTGGTGCCTCTGCTGTTGTGCACGCGGTGTGTGTGTGTCGTCTCTCACTCCTCTCTCTCTCTCTCTGCCTGCCCCTATCTTCTTCTCTCTTGCTCCTCCACTCGCTGGTTTGGGAGAGCTGCATAAGATGGGATCCACGTGATCTCCCCCCCCCCACACACACAGGCACACACACACACACACATGTGTGTGAGCATGACGACAGCCCCTTTCGCCCAGGCTCTTACAGAGTGACATCCAGCCTATGCAAGCCACCTTTCCCAGGCGATGGGAGGCGTATGGGCGGGGTAATTATGTTAAATGCCGCACGTCGCTATAACACCGCTATGAATATAAAAAAAACTGATATTACAACGAAATGAATGTATTACATTTTTTCGACAAAATCCCGTAATTTACGGATTAAATGAGCATCCTGATTATTATTTTTTTTACCAGTGGTAGAAATTCCACATTCCGATGGAAAGGGTGAGTCTATAAATAGGGCAACCACTGGTGACTTTCACACAAAGCGGTTTCATTTTATCGACCCCGACTGGATGATGGGCTGAGCGAGTCGGCACCCAGTCTTACGATTGTGAGCCGCGTGTTACCACCGCTGAGCCTAATTGCAAAGGGTACTGTGTATACTGTGTAAGTAATGGGCGGAAAGAGGGAATTATTAACTGTACCAATTATTTGCCTAGGAGAGCATCACCAATGAGTCTCAACACTTATTTTTCAGGAAGAGCCTGCGTTGAGTTGTTGGGCCATTTCCATGAATGAGTGTTAGGATGAATGTGGAAAGAAACCAGCAAGCCCGTAAATATTCAAATATGCTCAAAATGTCCCGTCCCCCCCCCCCCCCCCCCCCATATATTGCTATAAAATAGATTTCTGTTTATATGATTGTGGCTATGGTTGTACTTTATAAATCCCTAATCTCTGCCATTGCATACAATGAAACCAGAAAGGGTAAAAAAAGAAAAAACCGAGCAATGTAATACAATACACTGTTAGACATTATTGTTAAAAAGAAATAAAAAAAAGTCCATCGTATGTGCAAGTGAATTTTTTAATATTTTAGGCAAGAAATTCGTTTTCAAATTTAGATTTTTTTATGGGGGGGGGGGGGGACCCCAGACCCCCTGGAAGATTTAGTCGCCCCCAATGTTGACTCCATGGCTACGGCCTTGGAAACCAGAGAACCTGGAGAAATTCCACCGTGCGTGCAAAGTGCTGACAACTCAACACTGCCATCTACTGGCCACCTCGTAACCCATACACGTGCAACACCTGGCAAGCCCTGGTCGCCAGCTATCCAAGAAATAACCAGGTTAAAAGCCTGCTCAGCTTCTGCGATCAGACCGGATATAGCACATTCAGGGTGATTTGATCATCCGAACATGTATGAAATTACGTGTGCGTGGTATGACGTTTTATTACTACATTTTCATTAAAAATCAAAGAGCCCATTGGGATGAAAAGAGTTGTGCCAGGGAAGATTGAATAAAGACAAAGAGCGAAATGCCACATTACACAAGCAATTGTAATTCATCAACATCTACCTTCAAAGCATTTGACTCATTCAATGCTTTAACCCCTCTGTCAAATCCCTTGACTGCAGCAAAGTACACAAGATCTGCCCAAACAGTGTCCCACTATCAACTATTTGGTGTTCCACTTGATCGCTTGTACGTATGTATGTTTAACTTCTTTCACACAGTACGTAGTCAACCGTGGTAATCGGAGGTGCGGGGCAAGGACAATAAACTAAACACAAAAGCAGTTCTAAAGAATTAAAAGTACATAGCTCAAGTGGCTTCCTTATATTGGAAGGAAGAGCGTTCCAGACGGCAGCAGAAGCGCATATGAAAGCAGTGACCGCTTTTGTTTGATCGCGAGCCAAAAGCCGCCGTGAGGAATAGTTTGTGACGTTTTCCGCATTCGGGAAACAGAGACGTTGAAACAACTATCATGTTTTTAAAGGGCCTGAGTAATCGAACACAAAAAAGTAGTTGGTTGAAACTTTCAATCGATTAATTGGTTTCATCGACATCATTCCAGTCCCCCTTCTGAACGCTTTCATGTGGATGTCCCTACACAGCGTGCAATTCGTGGAAGACTATTCTGAGGGGTAATAATTAATCAGACAAAGGTCTCTTTCACTATCAGTGCTGATGTCTCAGAAAGACAAACAGGCCCAGAGTGCCAGCTTTAGCAAATGCCTCTGGGACACATTGGTTAAGAATGCCCATAGGCTGATGGCATGAAATGTTTTTTTTTAATGTGGTGCAACAGACGGCTGTCCGTTTAATAACACAAAAACAAGTTGTTGCATTGGTTTTCAAGGAATTGTATATTTTTTACAAAAATGTAAGGGAACTGTTGATAGCAGCGTACTGCTACGTTACAAAAAAAGTCATTGAACACTGCTTTCTAATAGAATCGTAAACGGTTTGGGCCTTCCACAGATCAGAGAGGGCAGCGAGATTTACTGACTACATAGTCGCGGACTACACTGTGTGGGGCGCTAAGAAAACTGGGACTTTTTAAAACTGAACAGTAAATTCTAATCCATCCTAAATGATAAATATAACGAGGGGGCTAATCTGCTTGCATGCGTGCACCTATCTTTGGTGAACTCCTCGACCAATGTCACCTCCGCCGAATGGGGTTGTCATGCAAATCAGCTCAAAATTAAAACTAAAACTACAATTGATCTGATCATTTGTCGTATCCCCCACGGCGGCGTCGCTTTTTTTATTTGATACGCTTTTTATTTTTTTATGATACTGAAATACCCCGCCGCGTAACACAAATTCCTGCAGCCCAAATTTCAGTCGCACAAACCGCATCGACGTGCAGGGAGGGGACGTGTGAAGGGGGGGGGGCATTCAATCTCAAAAGGCCTGCCCACCACAATTTTGCGCAATAAACAACACACTCAACGCATTCGTAAATAACACTCCCTTCCGAGTCAAATATATAATAGGCCATGTCTCGGCCAAATTGCCCTTCTTCGTGCCACGTACAATGTACAGAGGTAGTCCAGATGGCATGTGACCCCCCCAATTAGTTGACCCCTAACATTTTTTTCCCTTCGCATATTCATTTTCTGTTTTAAATAAACCTTACTTTGAAAATATTAAGTTTTTAGAGAATGAAATGGAGGGTCACAAGACATCTGGAGCACCCTGTACACATTGGTTATGAGATTCAGCTGAGTAGATGGCTGCTGATTGGTGTGGTACCAGGTGAGTGGTGAATGTCTGACGGGGGTCAGGTGGATGACTACTGGACGTCTGTGAGAAAAAAATCTTTATAGCTCATCGGATTCCTCCAGTATCAATAAATATTATGATTCTGACATAGCATTTCACCGAGGCTGTCGCACGGGATGGGTGAATTGCTATGAGGGTCAGGTAGGTGACTCAGCACTTCACCAGGTTCGTGGCACGGGCTGGGTGAAGTGCTATGGGATTATATCCATTGTCTTTGAAACTGATTGGTCTACACCAGATACAGCCTTCTTTAGGGCCGAGTCTCAACGCCTTTTGGCGTTCTCTGGTCTAACACTGGTTGAGACTTGGTTTCTGTTTGGTGATTGAACATCTTAACACGTGTTTTATTGCCAGAAAGGGTAAACCCTATTCTTATACTTACACAAATATGGTTGCAGGTGCCCTTTCGTGTGTAGTGGGTCCAAGGAGCCTGGAGACGGAGCGCTTGAGGCAACACGTTTATTAGCGATACGTGTGAGAAACACGCTCCCTAACACAGAGGGGTAGCGGCCCCTCTACCCGATACTTAGGGAGGTACAGCCTCCGGGCTCGCGTGTCCTAACCACTGGGACTACACTCACGTTCCTCCGGCTAAGGGCACCTAGGGGGAGGCTATCTGACCCAACCCAGCCAAGGTCTACGGATCCCGAACCCCTGGTCCACCCGGTACTGGCTCTTAGAAGGACGGCGGGTCCCGGGGGTTCCCAGGTTCGACCACTGGCCCACGACAGCCCCGGCCCTTAGAAGGACGTCATGTCTGGGGGTTCCCAGGGTCCTAGCCGAGCTGGTCTTCTTTCTTCAGCTTGACGAAGACTGTCGGACTCGTCGCGAGGTCTGGCTTTTATACTCGTGCCAGGGTCTCTCCGCCCCTGGTCACGCCCTCTCCGGCCCTGGTCACGCCCCCTTCTGAAACTCTCTAGGGGGCTCTGGAATACCCCCCCCCCCAACCCCTCTCTTGGGGCTGGGAGAAGCTCGTGTCCCAACGGCCCGGCTGATCCTACCCATCCCGGGTTACCACCCCCTATGGACACATGTCTGCTACTACAGGTAAGTATACATAAGACGCTATACAATGCCTGTCAATGACGCTACATATGTACGTGCAACATCACGTACTTCATGGGAACCGTGATTATGTAACTTGGTGCGAAATTGATGCTCATATCCTCATGGAAAAAAATGATTTTGTTAAACACCTGATGAACCTGGATGTAACTCTCTGCTTGCTTTTCAAAAAAATCTATTTCCATCTTTGCCTACGTGACCCTGCTGGGTGGTAGATGGTTTTAAATATAAACATTGAAGGACCTGCACGATGTAACCCAAAACTAAATAACCATGCTCATATGCGGATATCAAACTGTGCAAATGTTACCTGTATAAATAGTTTGCTGGTTGCTTAAGATATATCTGCCCTTTTCTCTCGGCTTTGAAGAAAGGCTGCTTCTCAAAATTCCGAATGTATAATAATTTTTATGTATTTGTTTTATATACTATATTTAGTCATAAAGTAAAACTTTTTTTTATTTATCAGTTAAGGTCGACTGCGCTATATAGATATTTTCAGAAGCGACCTGGCCACAATTGATAGCTCAAACGAAGTGGCTTATCATGTGGACATCTATCACAACCAAGTACTCTAAACGCACTTTTCTAAATGTGGAGGGGAAAACCGTAGGACACGGAGTAAAAATCCACGCGACCACGGGGAGAGAGCGAGAGAGAGACATGAAAACTCCAAATATACAGCAGGCGTCAGGGTCGGGATCAAAACAACGACCTTCTGTATACCGGGCGAGGTAGTTAACATCTCGCCACCGGAGCAGTGGTGCAATGGCTGGCACGCTGAACCTGCAATCCGGAGGTCGCCAGTTTGGTCTCCTAGCGTGGCAGTGCAAGCAACGGTGAGCACATTTATACACAAAGACAAAGATCCCCCCCTGTAATATAGCCTTAACAGACTGTTGGGGCAAGTGCAAGTTTCTTAACCCCCCCTCCCCCACTGCTTCTGTTCATGCAGCAGTGTATGCGGTGAACACCACACTTAGCCATTGAGCAGCTTCACTTCTGGTGGGGTATAGTGTGGGTAAGGGGCCGTCCATAAATGACGTCACACACCTACGGAGGGGGAAGGGGTCAGACATTTGTGACGATGTGTGACGAGGGGGGGGGGGAGTTTAAAAATGTGACGTCATATCAAATGCGCAACTTTAAATAAATATAGACAACACGTTCCTACTTAATTAAATATACTTTTTAATACATGTTTTCTCTTATAACATCAGATTGCAGCGCCATGTTTGGGGGGGGGGGCAGAGCTTTGTGACGTCATATTTGAGGGGGGGGTTTGACTTTTTGTGACGCCGTGTGACGAAGGGGGGGGGGGGTAAAAAATTGTCCAAAATCGCGTGACGTCATTTATGAACGGCCTCTAATGCCACCTCCTCCAAGACGGCTTGCCAGTGTGGCAGAGTAAGCTAGAAATACCATCGAGAAGGTTCGGCTCTTTTGAAGCCCCTCTAGCCGAGACCTACCTCGAGAGGAGGTGGTGTCAGGAAGCATTTACAGGTCAGCACCTTGGCCGTGTACACGTCAGTGTGTAATGGCATCTGATGATAATTCTTGTTTTGCCTTTTTTACCCACAATCCACCATGGCAGTTAATAATACATATTCAAAGGAAGCTGCTCCCAGTCACAATTTAAATGTTATCTGCAAGAGAGAGAGATAAATGAATGCTGCATCCAATTTGAATTCGGTCCCCTTTGCGCTATAGGCTGATAATTAGAAACCCTTGCTAGGTCCTTTTAAGATTTCTCCCACTAAACCTAATTCACAAGGGAATTATGGCTAATATTACCATGCTATCTATAGTGCGGTACTTTTATTTTATATCATTAACCATCTCATATATTCTCACTATAAGTGTGTGGTACTATGCAGATTTTATATATTTGCCCTTGCATCTATTTCTCCCTAAATAGTTTCAGTCTCACTTGCAAAGTATCTAAGTCATCTCAAAAATGTTCCACTTACCTATATAAAATCTGTCTACGTATCCACTTCAAATAAAAATGTATTCAACCCTGTCAAATGCAACTGAGACGACAGTATATATATATTTAGTATTAAATATAATTATACACGTATGTTTATATATGAATACATATATTTATAAATAACGATATATTTGTATTAATGATATGTATCACAATATATTTCTTATATATACTAAGTGTAAAGATATATACCTGGACGCGTAATCTGTTACCAAGCAGAATTCAAACAACAAAGACAAAAACGGTTTTAAAATAACACAGTGGTTTTGCTATTCACGCTATTCTCATAACAAACGTGCAATGTTTCACAAACAGGTTCAGTAATTTGCGAGTATTTTTCTTTCTCTCTCAAATTTGACGCCGGTTCACAATCGGCCTTCTCGTTTCAAATCACATCATGGGATCTTGAACATCCACTGCGCAGCAGACAGTGCGCATTTGTATGATCAGTACCCCAGCAGTACTAACCAGGGCGGCTTGCCTGCTTCGAACCACCAACCTCTTCTACGAGCTGTGAATGCACTACCGCCTAGGCCATGCCACTGCGCTATACATATATACACACACACACATAATTTGCATACATAAAGTGCTCACCAAAGATGAATGTTGGAGAGTAATCCCTTTCTTGTGGGTTTTTAGCCACCAATGGGGGCTTTGTGATAAGCGGAACACGGAGCGAAATAACCCTCAGTAGACGTCAGGATGGATGGCTCCGGCTAATCTTAATTACAGCACGGTGCCCTTCGCTGGAGGATTTGGTAAATAAACAACCGAAGCAGCTGAGCAAAGTGGGACATTCATTTCTGTTGTCACACGAGGGCTTCAAAGTATTTGCCTCACTGGGTACAGCAAATGGAGTGGTGCATAGGTCACTGGAAAAGACGCGCACCTCCCACTTTAATAGACCTCCAACTATTGACCACTAACCAGCTATCGGAGCAATCAGTTAATATCAACTATTGATTATATTAAGCGAATGGTAATTGCCATACAATTAGTTGGTGGTATTATTATTCGTGTTGTCGTCGTCTTCACCGGGTCACTCGCATGTCGTTAAGTAGTCCTTGGATGTTTTGTTTTTAAATGCCGTGCACAGCCAGACGATATAAAACCCCTTCAACACATCTTTCGTTCTACTCTATAAAGCATTCACATCACTGGACACAGGGCACACACCTGTTTAATTACCTTGCAAAATTCTCCACACATGGTGCTGAAAAATGTGCTTCACTACAGTATTTACGAAAGAAAAACCTCACGTTGCCAGAGGAAAAAAATAATTATATTGCATATTTTTATTTTCTTCAGCCTTATGGGAGTGTGTAAATGGCCCGTGGACCTCAAAAGGCTGATAAAGAGCCAGGCGTTTGCTAAAGTTGACAATGATGGAAGATAATTTAGACCGTGTGGACTGCATTGGTGTCGAGGTTTAATGTAACACCCGATTATCCCAGTGACCAAAGTCCGATTCCTAGTTACACACAAGAGCAGCAGCGACTATTGGTATCAGAACCATTAACTCAGCCTTCAATGTATATGTAGTGCCTGGAAATACGCTCCACACGCGGGAGTGGGTGCACGCGCGTGCAGAGTACAATGGGAGCCAACGAGGTCGCCTTTTGGCGTCATCTGGTCCAACCCATGTGAGACTAGGCTGGTCCAACCCATGTGAGACTAGGCTGGTCCAACCCACGTGAGACTAGGCTGGTCCAACCCACGTGAGACTAGGCTGGTCCAACCCACGTGAGACTAGGCTGGTCCAACCCATGTGAGACTAGGCTGGTCCAACCCATGTGAGACTAGGCTGGTCCAACCCATGTGAGACTAGGCTGGTCCAACCCACGTGAGACTAGGCTGGTCCAACCCACGTGAGACTAGGCTGGTCCAACCCACGTGAGACTAGGCTGGTCCAACCCATGTGAGACTAGGCTGGTCCAACCCACGTGAGACTAGGCTGGTCCAACCCATGTGAGACTAGGCTGGTCCAACCCATGTGAGACTAGGCTGGTCCAACCCACGTGAGACTAGGCTGGTCCAACCCACGTGAGACTAGGCTGGTCCAACCCATGTGAGACTAGGCTGGTCCAACCCATGTGAGACTAGGCTGGTCCAACCCATGTGAGACTAGGCTGGTCCAACCCACGTGAGACTAGGCTGGTCCAACCCACGTGAGACTAGGCTGGTCTAACCCATGTGAGACTAGGCTGGTCCAACCCATGTGAGACTAGGCTGGTCCAACCCATGTGAGACTAGGCTGGTCCAACCCATGTGAGACTAGGCTGGTCCAACCCATGTGAGACTAGGCTGGTCCAACCCATGTGAGACTAGGCTGGTCCAACCCATGTGAGACTAGGCTGGTCCAACCCATGTGAGACTAGGCTGGTCCAACCCATGTGAGACTAGGCTCTAAGGAAAGCTGTCTCGGGTGTGGACCAATCAACTTCAAGGACAGTGCATATCATTATCAGAGTTATGTTTTTTGTTTGCATTATGACTGCAGGTATTGTGGTCTATGCAAACATGCCAGATAGAAGGGTAAAAAAACAATTATCAGAGGTCGAGGCTGTTGTTGTCGTTAGGCCTGAAGAGGTCAGAGACGGATAGGGGGCAATTGAGGACACAAGGCGCTGATTGGCTGGGAGTTGTTATTGTCCAAATGTGGTGCCACGCTGTCTGAGGACAGTAACAGGTGGTAAGGGGCGATTAAGGA